ACATTGTGTGGCGTAATCAATGGGGAAATAATGGGTAAAGATAAAGATTCATCTTATCTATAAATAAAATGTGTGATTGATTCGATTCATTTGTCAATAAAGGATTGTTCTTCATTAGAGTAATACCCGTCGAAAAGCTTGTATGAATTCTAAGTTTAAATTTTAAGTCTAATCTGTAAGTCTCTAAATTTTCTTTCGAACATTTTGAATTCTGGGAATATATTTTTAGTGTATCCAGCAACTCTTGTCTTGGTCCTGTTCCCGCTTGCGCGTTGGTGTAAATGTCAATGGTGTCGGCGTTACAGCCCCCTTCTTTGTCCCAACGTCCCTAGCTGTTTCTACACCAAGATTTCGCTGTATTTGGTATTGGAGCTGCTGCCGACACGTCTCTATCATCATCATCATACACGCGCACGCGTTCACACACTACACACCCACACTGCATGGTAATTTATTGTATGTATCATACATCTTGAATGATAAAATTAATGTTCGGGACATATATCACAGTGCGGGCTAGTCTCGTATTTAGCCTCGGTGATGCTGGCAGAGGAAAACAGCGCTCTGTAGGGACGGTTAGTTGATTTCAAGGCAACGACAAAGGCAATGGTTGAGTATGTAAACTTCTAAGGAACCAGCCAAATCAGGCGAAGATAGGGTTGAGTTTGTCCTAAAAGACATGAAGGTTGAACCGTGACATACACTCGCCTCATCTTGTGTTCGTGGCTTGCTGGATACGGCATTAACTGCTTTAGTCACAGCTTGCCATGTCTTTTTATTAACTACAGCCGCCAAGTTGCCAGCAAAACCTCCGAACCCAGTCCTCCTTTTCTGTCCCACTTCATCAATTATGGAGTCAATTTCCTCTGGAGAAATATTCCTATTCTTCCGCCTCTTTTCTTGAGTTGCCGTGTATATTTTAAATAACTTTGCTAAATTAATTAAGTCTCACTTTATTCTCACAATACTGCGGGAATGATATATATATATATACGTGTACTGGATAATGATCCTCAGAGGCGTAGCCATGATTTTTTAACAGGGGGGGCCAAAACAGTGAACTGCGCAAAATTGTGGATGACTTAATATTTTAATGGTTCCTCCGCCTCCGTCTCCACACCCTACGTTCCCCCACCTCTCAGCTCTGCAGTCTTTGTTTCAGGTTGGTACCAAGATATATAACAGGAGGAGGGTGAAAAACAGACGGGCGGTATGGGGGTCTTCCCCCAGAATATGTTTAAAATGTTGATCGCAGGAGATGGTATTTGAGGCACTTTTGAGTACATGTACAGCCTTCATTCTGACTAGGACAATTTTCTTTTTAGTAGAACAATTCTTTATTTTTATTTTTTTATTTTTACTTTTGAATCAACTGCCATGACTCCGTTTGCCCCCCCCCCCTAACTACGCCACTGATTGATCCTGTAATTAATGAGTCTAAATGAGTTTCTGGGAACTAGTTTTCATTGTGATTAGAAGCGTAGACAATTAGGGGTGTTACAGGACTTGGACTGGATCAAAATATGTTTCTATTATATACACGTTTATTTTAATTCACTTGATAATCAACTTTATATATAAACTGTGATTGCTTACAATGAATTTTTAAAATTGGAACAGCTATATTAATGATGACGACAAAAAGGGCCGCGCACCGTGAAACTATATTTAGGCCTCGCGTTTGCTAAGGCCCGGCTCAGGGCGACATCATCACGTGATAGCATCATCACGTGATGACATCATCACGTGATAGCATCACTTACTCACCATGAAGACGATCGCTAACGTATCGCTACCGCACTTGTGCGTCTTTGCGAAGACAAAATGTTGGACCTCCTCACAACATACGCGGAGTTTGAGCAGGAAGTTAGCAGTCGCGCGCTGTTATCAGGGCTGCTATAATGCAGCCCGCATAAAAACCGGTTGGTTACTATAATGCAGCCCTAATTAAACGTAATAGTTTGCAATGTTCACGCTTTTGTTGATTATATTATAGCAGTGTACGTTATAATAGGCTGGCCACTTCTTGCTAGCTTAATAGTAGATGGAGTGTATTTGGGACATGCATTGTTTCAGAATTTCACTTTGTGCTAGAACTATGCAGAATCTATGGTTTTGTTGGAGTAGTCTGATGTAAAATGCTATATTTGATTTATAACTGCATTTTCTTGGCATGAAAAACATTCACCTAACTTTGTATTTCACTCGACAACAACAAATTGTAAATAAAGAAGCTTCTTTGGAATAAATTCTGCAAGTTGTATATATTTATTATGTTTACCCTGATTTTTGTAAAGAGTATTTACACGTTGTGCAATTTGAGGTCTCCAACTTTACACCAAAACATAAATATCTGTAGCAGCAGAAGAAATGGGCGCCAATTTATAGTTAGATTACCTCATGTTTAGCCGATTTTTTAGCTTTGGTGCCACATTTACCATAAAATTGCGAAACATTAGCAGAAATTATAATTTCCAAGAATTCAAAAGTATTTCCAATGGTGTTATAGGCGTTTAGGTGTAATATGGAGGGAGGGGAAAGCGCGGGAGAGAAGGGGGAAAGTAAAGAGAGAATGAGATAGCGACGTATATAGCAGTGAGTAAGAGAGTGAGAGAGAGAGAGAGAGAAAGAGAGAGAGAGACAGTCACAGTGAGAGAGAGAGAGAGAGAGAGAGAGAGACTAGATAGAGGTATGTAGGATGCGCACGCTTGTGTGTAGTCCCGCGAGCCTTTATATGATATATTATAAACATATTATTCAGCTATAACGCTAAGGATATGTTCATGAATTAGTTATGACACAACCAGGATCATTAGACCGTTTATTACATGAACAATACCATGCGTTCTGATTATCATAAGTCCGGGGTTAACACGTCTGTCTACAGATCTATGTGCAATGTTTATTTAATGGGCGGTAGCAGAATCACACTCCATGTTTGCAAGCAACTCAACGACCTGTTCATATCCAGCCAGAGATTGGGCGTGTGAATGTAAATAGATGAGTGTAGATATTCGCTGCCACAAATTCAGTGCATACGATCATATTATCATTGTACATATAGCTGCATAGATACCTTCTTGTCATTGATTGATTGTATTGGGTATTTCGTTTAACAACAGGCATACTCTCAATGGCTAATGCTGGTCCCGATACAAACGGTTCGCAGTTTTTCATTACGACCGTAAAGACAACTTGTATTAGTATATACAAGTTGTATATACAATATACAAAAGGTATATACAATATTGTATTGGTATGTACTATATACGCAGCCTTGCCATAACTAGCCTTACCCATAAATCGCTAACGTTACCTGGCGTATTTCCAGCATACTTTAGCGGACTCTGGCTCACGTTTCAGGTTAAAAAAATATGTCTCAATGTTTACTCGGTATAGAATCAAGTATATAGAATGTATCCAATAATTCATTAAACATTGTTGTAAGCGTGTATGGTGAATTTTGATCATAAAAATTAACCGCGTGGCTCTGCATGTATGTATAAACCCGAGTATAGATAGCGGCAGCGTGCATCTACCTAAGTTCTATTGATTTTCTGGTTTAGTTTTGACTGTACACGCGTGAACATCTTCGTATAGACCGGCTCAACGACGCACACGCACTCAATCATGCACGCACGCACACGCACGCGCGCACGCACACAGCAGCCATCGATGTGCATATTCACATGCAGTCATGAACGCGCATGCAGGCCCTTCCGCCTACCACCCCGCGCGTATACACACTCACGCACATGCACGCACGCACATGCACGCACTCACGCACATGCACACACGCACGCACGCACGCACGCACGCACGCACGCA